CGAGATCGTTCGTCAGCTAACGCTTAGCGGTCACGAAGTTAGTTTTTAATATAACCATCTTTGTTTGAATGTGAGCCCGCATAGCTCGCAGTCGATTCGGAAAGTTGACAGATAAATCATCCCGTGTCGTCGAAACAACACTTACGAAAGCTCTACAAAAGGAGTATCCGGTGGTAAGTAGTCATTCCGCTGGACAGAGAACTACTTCGCCAATGTCCCGAAGTCACTCGTGCCCCGTTTGTTCAAACAAGCACTTGGCTGCAGGATGCGGAATCTTTATAGAGCCTGAGCTGCCGCAATGGTGGGAAATGTTGAAAACTAAAAGCTTATGTTTCCGTTGCTTAAGTCGTGGTCATATTGCCTAAAGCTGTGGCATTCGCAGAGCCTGCAACATTGTTGGGTGCAATTTTCGTCATCACTACCAGTTTCGTGGTGACGGCTTCCCAAAGTCAACCCACGCCCGTAGTTAAGGACCAGAACTTTATCTACCTTCATAGGCATCACTGTCGGAGTAACCCCTCGACGGCTCTGTCGTTACTGGGCCACAACTAAAAGGATCGCGCGAGTCCTTTCATCTTCGTGATTCGTGTAACTTCTGTGGAACATGTGGTCGAAACCGGGGTGGTATGATCGAAATGGATTCCCAGAGCAGACAGCCATCTTCGAGACTAAACTCTGAATGTCGAGCAAAGGATGGTAGCAGCTGTGGATCACAGTTATCAGACCATTCCTAAGAGACTATAAACTTGATCTATGTAAGTTACAGCTGACTCCAGTAAAACTAGACAATAGGAAGTAGGCGAAATCAGTTCACGCAGGTGCTACAAGTATACCGAGAGTATATTGGCCAAAGGAAAATTCTCACAAATTCGCCGTCCATGAATTGGAAATTTCGGAGGATTAGGTGTACGAAATAATTGTAACCAATGAGTTTCAAATATTGGACGATTGGAATTGCGGTGGCGAAAACGTACTAAGGAATACAAGCATATCTCAAAAATAGACGTTGAAGAAATGTCCTGAACGGCACGAAGAATAAAACTGGCCTGCAAACGTGTTCTACGATTGATTTTGAAGGTTAGAAAGTTATGGGACGCCAGACAGGGGAGTTACCATGAATCATCGACTCGAAAAAGACTTTGGAGCTAGTTGATCGTGCTTCTTTGATGACGACTGCTCTTGTACATTAATATCATTTTAATGCAAATATCGGGGCGCTGTGGTCTCTGGGAGCCTCTCCGGTATACTTCCTACAGATCGAGCGAATCAGAACCACTTTACAAGACCACTTTTCAACAATGGGAGATATCATCACGCTCCGTCCCGTTCCCATATTGGGACTAAACGTACGCCACACAAAATTCCGGATGACGGAAATAGCCGAAAATATTAGGTCATATCAAAATCAATCGACTTTTTTCGATACCATTCCAGAATTTTCTGGAAGCATCTCGAAGATTCTTTTATATGGGTATACAAAGCGACATACAGGAACAATGATCTTACATTGTCCAGTTATCCTACATTTTGGCAATGGTCACGGTATCGGCAAATGATCAATATGCTGTCGGCGGATGCTTGTTGTACGAGCTCCTACAAGAACGCATAGTGGTTGAGGGTTGTTGAAACATGCGTGGCGTACCAAGGACATAAGTTCTAAATTGCAGTATCGTGTCATTTCGCTTTTATTCAGCGTAAAAAAAACTACGGATTGTCAAATCTCTGAGGTCAAGGACGCAATTCGGCGGACACTGTCACCCACTGATTCTCAAGTCCCTAACGGTCATCATCTCGCCTTCTGTAACTGAGCTGTCCAACAGCTCACTATCCACTAGAATATTACCGGGCGTCTGGAAATGCTCAGACGTAAAGCCAATACCGAAAGGTCGTAAAACAACCAAGTGGGTAACTTCCGGCCGATCTGCCTGACCGCTGATTTGGCAAAGACACGCGAGAAGATCGTGAAGAAGAGCCTTTTGCAGCTTCTCGAGTCGAAAAGCTTCTTGGCGCCCGCACAGCATGGTTTCGTGAAAGGTCGCTCGTGCATCACCAACCTACTGTTGACGAGACACGAATGGCTACAAGCACTGAACCAAGGCAAATCGGTCGACGTCATTTACAATGTCTTCAGTAAGGCTTTTGACAAAGGTGTGCGGTGTTCGTGGCTCGTTGCACCAATGGATCAAGAATTTCCTTGTTGATCGAAACTGGAGGGTCCAGGTGGACAACCATTTAACCGACTGATATCCATCGAGCAGTGGCGTGCGTTAAGGCACTGTACTGGGGCCGATTTTGTTTCTCATCCATGTAAACGATTTGCCTCAGCTACTCCAATCACCTTGTGTGCTGTTCGCAGATGACTTAAAGGTGTGGAGAGTAATCCGCACACCCAATGATTGTGACCTGCTTTAGCAGGACCTCGACCACTTTTCCACGTGAGCTGCAGAGGTCAACTTCCCGATCAACGCGGTCAAGTCGAAATTCATGAGGATGTGTAAGTGTGAGCACAGTCGAATCTACACAGTGGCTGCTCAATCGTTGTATCCCATGCCCTCGATGTACTCTCACGCTACGACCTTAAGTCTATGGACAACATGAATAGGCTTTACCAAAACAGGCTTCGTATGCTTTGGGCGCTCAGACGCAGCTCCAGCACTTGATGCGAAGAGATTGCCACTCGCCTCTTCGTCTCAACAATACGACCAATGCTAGAGTATGGTTCTCTCGCGTATTGTGCTATCACCCGGGGCGAGGTAGAAAAGATTAAGCGAGTGTAGCATGTAGCCACCAGGCTGATTCCCAACTTACAAGGTGTGCCATACGAAGACCAGTGTAAGAAACTGTGGCTGTACATAATAGCTTGTCCTCGAATGCAGGTTGACCTCATCATGACGCACCGGATATCACATCTGGATGATTACCTCATGTCGAAACCGCTGCTTCATCTGCGCACACCAAGCAGCACCAGAGGACACCGGTACAAGGTTGTCGTACAGGATTTGAAGCGGGTCGCTCACCAACTCTGTTTCGAACGCAGAGTAGTGAATGTATGGAACGGCCTGCCGCAGCCCGTAGTTGAGGCAAAGTGGGTGTCGAAATTTAAGAAATTCCTAGACAAACACTTTGCCGACGCAAAACATATTGAGCGCAACACAACATAACGGGTCTTTGTCCCTGAGTGAGATTAGATGCAGCTACACAGAGCAAACCCTGCTTGCTGCTTCCAACCAGTAATCCGTAATTCATGACGCACTAAGGGAGAATATGAGACAAAGTATGCGTGGAGTTTCGTCACATGTTGGCCTCTCAAAAACTCCCATTCACTGCCATGATCCGAAGGCTCGGGCAACTTGTACCAAGGCTTTTGAACATTTGTGCCCTTGCGGATACGATCATCGATGGCTGGACGATGATGTCAACCACAGCTGGAAGAGTTAGTGTATCGCAGTAGATGAAATGCCAGTACACATCCGGAAATGCGAACTACAGGCAAGAAAGTGATGACGCATCTCGAGATTCAGCAGCTCGGTATCGAAACTCGTATGCATGCAGCATAAAGCCCCGATCTTGCTCCTACTGATTACCAGCCTTTCTGCACGCAGTAAAATCATATCAAGGAGAAGAGATTCGATGACCGCAATCATTTCGAAATGTTTTGTCCCACTAGACTGATAGCCAGTCCAGCTCGTTCTAGGAGAGGAGCAGTAACGTCGTCAATAACAACTGATGTTCCACTGATTAAATAGTGTTGCTTGTTTAAAATAATTAAATGTAAAGGAGATCAATTGATTTTGGGACAATCTAACAGTCCTCTTGGAGTGCGGCAGAATAGATCGACGCAGGGCGAGGTGTGCATTGCGATAACATTTGCGCCCTAACGGTGCAGAGCGCTGTTAGAAAGCCGAGTCGGTGACAACACTTTCTAACAGCACCGGACGATAATTCTAGGCGACATATCGAAGCACTTAATGAGATGAATGTATCAGCATTAGTGCACGAACATTTAGGACTGGTCAGAACCAAAGGTTGGCACAGCTTTCATAGTCTTAGCCACCTGTGGAGACAGCAGGATATTGATGCAATATTCAAAGATAAGAGTGATACAGCAATATAGTGCGGTCACAGCGTAGAGACTGGTAGATCTTGAAAACCAGCACTTGTGAAGCACCACTTAAATCTGGTATCGCAACGAATCACTTGCTTGTCTCGCATCTTCTATCGACAAGGCAGCGTTCCTCGCGTACCTGTCGACCTGTAAGTCGGGTGTGTATTCTGCACCGTTAATCCACTTGGTTGAGTGAGCCCAAGGTGTGGTCAATCGATCAGATAGAACAAATGAATAATTTGTCTAAATTTCTTGCCCAGACAGGCGCGCCGTGCTTCCAAATTGATGCCTATGGCGTGCACACACCAGTGTGTCGAAATATCTAATCTAGTGTGACTGAGTCAGGAGAGCAATTGTGTTTTTGCTTCCTGCCGATCCTCTTTTCTTGAGACATCAACTATCTTATACACTGTTCCACTGGATAGATATTTATTAGGCCGTTTTCTCTCCGTCTACTCTCATTAGTATGAAAGTGAGAGCCATGACCGATAAATTCACCGTAATTCGATGCTCGAATCATGGCTTAATCAGCAGATAACTAAGTGTGCACTATGCTCTATCACACAGTTGTAGAACATGTACTCAAAAGTGTCCCATTTTTGCGCAATCCCGAAATCTGTAGCGCAGCATCGAGGTGAACTATAGCATACTGAGTTCATTCATAAGGGAGAGTTGCTCGGGAGAGAAACAAACCGGTTGCAAGTTGTTCACGTGAGCTGCGAGTGCTATGGGATTCGGAACGAGAAGAGTCATAACACCATTGTCGACAAACGCACTTCAGGCGGCGAAGTGAATTTTGGATCGGGCATTGGGGAATATTGAATGGCCTCGAGTAGACAACAGACATTACAAACAACCAAAACGGTGCGGGTAGACACAAACACATTTTGTAAGTCTTCGAAATAACAACCGGTGATTAAGTACATGGTGTGACGCGTTATTGGTTCAGCGGTTGGCACACGTAAAATTTGGAGACATTGTGACGAGGAATGGTCTAAAGCTAGGAATGTATATGAAAAAAACCATTTCACGAAAGGACGTAAAGTCAAATGGGTAGTGGGTTCACTTGGTTGGTAATCAGTATGACAGTTTTTCGAACGAAGGTGAAGAGGGAGGCAAAAGTGCATCCACAATGAAACATCATCAAAAACAACAACGAGCGAAAGAAAACAGCTATAAAGTATACGAAGTAAAATTAATCTAATAGAAAGACATCATGTTAGTGTCCAATGCATGATCGATGTGAAAAAATATACAATGGAATATCTGAACGGCAAAAGGGGGAACGGGGGCAGTTATGACATAGTGGAACGTAAACGAAGTCGCACTTGTGGAGAGATCGTGTCCGATTCGACAGCATAAGCCATTTGGCGATTAGAAGCACAAATTAGTAAGCCAAAATTATGGGCGCCGTAAAAATGCTGAGAGAACACAAGTGCGCTCGAACCTGAGGCTGCACTGATGATGAATCACGGTAAACTAATAGACGATATTCAGAATAGGTTCTCGTCTTGTTTCAAGCAAACCTGGAAAGGAAAAACGTTTGATAGCAATTGAGGCAATATAGCAACATGCAACATCGAATATACAAACCTAGACGTGAAGGTGGGGGAAAAACAAAAAACAAAGTGTTACGCTGAAGGGGGAACCAAAGATATTGGCTGTCATCGTGAGTGAACAAACAATAGAAAGTGCTAAAACATTATGCAAAGTGCGTAAATCTAGAACTTCTTATAGCAAACATGGTTGATTTATTTGAGAAGAAGAAATGGAGCGATATCTTGGTCTCAAAAACATGAATTAGCGGTAACGATTTGTTGGAAACATCGGATAGCAAACAAGAAAGGCAGAGGTGCTGAAGCTCCAGCGAGCAGGGTCAGGTGAAATAAGTGCATTAGTGCTTCATGCGCATGACCGCTGGACAAATTGTCAAAAGGTATGTGAAACAAACAGTCGAAGATGCTTCACTGTAGGGGACAGGAAGTAACTAGCTGGTAACTAGATATTGCCCACCAAAAGTAAACTGTGCGGAGGTAAGAACTGGGACACAAGAATAGGTGTCCATGAATGTATTCGTTGCTAGATCTGCTGTGTCACCAACATTTGGATACAGCGCCCTTAGTCGGAACAACGATTCGGCTCTTGTGGACTGTGTGTCGTGCGGACAAGTGGCTGGCCAAATTCCGGATCGAGGTGTCACGGGTGACTTAGTTGATTAAGTGTTGTTCCTCACTGTACTGATACAAACATGACACTGCACGACTACTCGTAACTCCGAGAGAGGAAGATATCATGACTTTCAGTGAAGCGCTTCTACTCCTCAAGCGCAGAACGAACAAGGTCTGTACAGCCTGGTATTTACAGCATGACCATGGTTATCTTGGGGGGGGGGCGGTGTAGTCGTCTCCTACTAATGGAACAAAGGTGTTTAACAGCGTGACGTAATAGCTATCCGTTAAAGTGAACACTAAGTGGTCACGAAATCAGCAACCTGGTGGCAGTGTCTTTTGGTTACGACAGAGATAATTGTCCACTGGTAACGTCACCGAGAACGCATAGTGTAACGGTTCCATGACATTGACAAAATCTGGGGGAAAAGGTGCCCGGCGCGAAGTTTTGTAGAACCATGAGATCCCCACCACAAGATCGTGATACCATACGAAGAAAAGTGACCCTCGATCAAATCCACTGTATGGGGTCTGTAGATCTCAATTTTTTCGGCAGACCGGGCGGTATTACTTGAACTGAAGGCCACTTTCAAAGCGATTGAACGCTATCACACATCTCATTGTACTCAATACTGCTTTTAACCTTCCCGAATAGTTCGACGTCACTGACCATTATCTGCATATTATAGCGTAATGGGATTAAGTACGGCTGCAACATAAACAAGTAGTATGGTAGAAACGAGCAAACCGGATGAGAACGGATCAACTACGGATCACCTAAAGGACGGCGCAACGTAGCGAGGAAGAGGACATTACACCATGTCCGAAAAGGTGGTCGTAGCGTGGGTGGGGTAGTAAATCATCGAGCCGAATTTGTCATGTGTATGCTCGTTCTCTTAATACATACACTTTTACAAGTTCATATTGATTGGTTCGACGGGTGAACCGTTACATAGTGGGTAGGTCCCCATTTCCACATTAACAAGATGGAACACTTAATATAAGTGCGGGGCTCACCAGATAGTATACTGTGGCAAGGGAGGCTTATAAAAGTCAAGCCAGTGGACAATTTCGTCGAAGTTAAACGCCTACGTTCTTTGAACCATGACCACGATTGAGCGAAAGAGCCTTGCGCGCGTCCGTGGCGTTCAAGAGGGGAATCTTCACCTGGAATCGTCCACGGGTCCCCTGAAAGAAGAAATAAAGAGTAAGTTTCAGTTCGGTGGGTGGGTGGATTGTTAACTGAAGCGTAACGTCAACAAAAAATGGATAGCACCCTGGATCGACCGACGATGAGTTGATGCTGATTTTGCCACCGTGTGCAAGGAGTAGGCAAACAGTCATCATTGAAATGAGATCGCGAATTAGGCGAATAACATACCCAAACTAATAAAGCGGGTGGATTTAATGACGTACACTAGCTCAAGACTGATTACATGCATCAAACGATGATAAGTTTGGACAAAAAGCCCATAAAGGAAAGAAACTGAAGGCAACATAATTTTGCCATGAAGCGGATAACGAAAGAAAGCAACCCACTCTCTAAATCCGCATTGTCCGATGCGTGACAAGCTGGTGCTCCTGGATGGGCTTCCACAGGTATTGTGTGTGGCGAGTTGGACGACAAATACGCATGTGAACCCATGCCACAATGAGTGAGCCGAGTGAGCAATTTGGACACACGAGAAGTACGGTAGGAGTTAGGGCGTCCAAGGTGGGCACCACATATTCTGCGGCGTTCGTTTACAGAAGCGGAGGAATCGATCGGTTGGAGAACGCGACTGCAAGAATACCGGTGCATTCTCACAGGACTTGTGTCGGCGCTAGCTCCAGCTGATTTCACAGAACAAGGAAGTGGTTTTAACGATGTGAGATGGCCGCAGTCTATGACCGGGGGAAATTCCTTACTCTGGCGAGAAGAAGAGACAGCCCAAGCTGAAATGGTGTCCTTATCGAAGCTTTGAACACGCCGAAACGTTGGTGACTGAGTGCAGAAAAGTAGAACGGAATGAATTCCATTAGTTGTCCGCAGTGGAATGTTAGAGAGAGAGCAACATACTAAACAATTACATTTGGCAAGAGGTTGTGACAACTGACTGACTTGGAAGTAAAATAACCAAAGTGCGAAAATATCAACTTTGTAGAGACACAAGGAAGTTTGAAAAGAAGACAGAAGGTGAGCAGTGGTACGCATAGAAAGGAAATGCTAGCTCAAAAATACTGATAACAGCGGAACATCCGCAACAAATGTGGTCTGCCATAGATATTCCAAAAGCAGCAATTTACCAAAACGGTTGAAGTATATGGTGAGGTAATGACCATATGGTTTGAGAGAACGATTACGGAACTCAATGGGAAGATAAGCTAAAAGTTATTCTAGAGTAGCACTGGCAAAGTAGGAATAATCCGTATTCTGGTCCCAGATTACAACGCACCCGCGACGATGTGACGCATGTAAAGTTGAGTGAAGCTCGCTTGTGAGGGCTGGTAAATAGGTTGGTGTGTGCTGCACTTAAAAATCGCTTGTACGGTGCAATAGAGAAGGCAGAACTGATCTTCCTTTTAGATCTGTGACCCCAAATTGCAACCCCATCATCCGTCAATTCTGACTGCCTGATGTTCGTGATTCTCCCTTTCTCACCCGCTCAGATCTAATGGCACTAATAACAGGAACGATAAAAAGATTAATGGTAATAATGTCACAATGAATGGAGGCGACCGGGACTACCGCGATTTGGCACTGGGATAATAGTGAATTCTATGATTTGGACTGACCACGGTCGATGTGGCACGTGTGTGTCCGTTGCTTGTAGTGCAGAGATGACTGAGCTGAGGTGAGCGCCGAATAACCCTGATCAGAGAAGATCAATGCCTCCTATGAAAGTAGGTAAGGAAGCTGATATTGCAGTTAGTCAAATTGTTGTCTTTGACAGAGAGAATAGGAGAGAATGAGGCGGTATAACTAGCCTCAGTAAAGGTAAGCCAAGACGACAAACTAAACGGCAAAACGCAAAGTGCTACAAACACCAGAATCCAGGATATAACCCGATCCCAGAATCAGGCATCACTGTAATGGAGAACATGCTCACAGATGGTTCCCAAAGATATTCGAACAAATCCCATATAAGAGAGCGCTGAAAGGTAGAAAGGAAACAGAAGCTAAGATAAAAATGGGTGAGACATTAGGTTGAGCAAAGACAAACCTCGGACACTGGCTCACTGACACCAGAAAGAGGACCAACCACTTTATCTGAGGCTGGACATCCTCGATTGTGTGGATCGGACGAAAAATTGCCACGACAAGAACAGCATGTCGAAGAAAAGTGCGAGTCACTTAGGTAACCACGACATTCCTCGAATTCATCCAAGGAGATGACGGCAAATTCCACTAAGCCTCTAGCATGAGGACCAAGGAGTTGCACGAATTTCGTAGTGGCTGGTTCACGTGGGTGACACATTTGTGTATTGGAGATGCTACCAAAACGTCTGCCCAGAAAGCCAAGGTTGTTCGCAAAGTAGGAGGTACGGGGCTGCAACAAAACAAAATGAGAACTATCGGATGATGCAGTCGCAGTCATGAGCCAGAAGTGAAGTGTCTGAATAAACGAAGGTGAACAAGGAGTATAGCGATGGCGCAATAAGCTACATGAAGATATATATGGTTGGCGGCATCCGGTTTCGGATTTGCCTGACACTGTGGCCAGCTACAGGACGCCTGCGCCTACCGTGCGACCATGGATGGCTTGCGCTGCACCACCCACAGCTCCAACCACAAACTCCATATCCAGTGTAAACCCGAAGGAATAAGACCGGGAGGCATGCGGATGGGAGCCACGTTTCATCAACGGAGCCGGCCCACACTCCTTCACAGGCAAACACAAGCACGCTGTATTTGGGGAATCAAGCGCACACAAGGTGGTGGCTGGACCGTAGTCCGCTCCACACTGAGTGCATGGAACCGCTCTTTGAGCCTAGCACGGCCACAAGGACCGTGCACCCCGTCCCCTCCAGCGACGACCAACTGTCTCCTGGAGCCAGTATGGACGAGGTAGTGGGTAATAGACAGGTAGGCACCTTGTCAACATGCACATCAAGTGCAGCCACACTGGGGATATCAAGCAACAGCCATTCAATTTAAACGACAAGCTGAAATAAAATAAATCCAATAATGCATACAGATACGGTGGCATAACTCTTCGCTAAATTACCATATGAAGTAAGTTGGTTAGCAACGAATCCGCGATAAGCAAGAAATGTCCACAGGTTACTTGAAAATGCTACAAACGCAACAAAATTACCGAAGATAAGCGCAATTAGCATAAGCAACGTGGCCAGTTAATAGAACATTATTCAGGTAGGCAGAACAAACCAAATAATGTGGAATGAAATGTATCCAGCTTAAAAAGATCTAGTTTAAGTGTAGGTTGGTTTAGCCCAACTGCGGTGAAGAAGCATCAAGAATGCAACATCAGCCTCAGCATGGGGCACAATGAATATATATATATATATATATATATATATATATATATATATTCACTTTGATCTTCATGTTATGCAAACTAAACTGGACGTTTGGAAAGCCAAACAGCACACCGTTTTGTCGAGTCGAAAGTGAGCAATTCTTAGCAAGGAACGAGGAGTAACGCGCCTGGACGATGTTCAGGCTATGTAACCCGAATTGTGCAACCAGCGGACGCTGATGCAAGCCCTTCCCTTGATCATGAGTGCCATTACCCTCTACCAAAGCCAGTGACCTGGTTTCCTCTGTCTCCTTATCGGTCTTCTCGTTTTCTGCATGTGTGTAAACCTGTGCAGTTGCGCGACTAGGCGAAAAGTATAGACTGCTATGGCTCCACTAGGCATTACCTAGCTTTGCTAGCCTACTGCTACACGAATCGAAAGAAATGAGTGACGAACGATGAGAAGGAGCATCTCCGAGGCAGCGACGGTGCAAGCGAATGTCATTGATGTAGAAAGATATCCTTACCAAGCTTGTGTTCGTCCACAGCTAAGTCACTCACGAAACTGCTAAAGTCGCTGGTGTCAACGAGAGCACGGCAAGAAACATCATTAATGCTTACAGATGAGAAAGTGCCATTACTCAGCGCTGCTATGCAGGAAAGAACAGAGGGAAGGCGATATCAGATGTCCTACAGTGTATTCACAAAATCATTGAACGACATTCGGAGAACACTTTGGTGCAGGCATATCAGCGGCTGAAAGAGAACGAGGTGCGGCTTTATGTATCTACAGTCTTAAATGCCCTCAGAGGGATAAACAGCAAGCTTAAGGATTAGAACTACAAGCCAGACCGCGTCAAGCAGGACGTATGGCATAATGTTTAGGTGAACGAAACGCGTTGCATAGGAAAAAATAACGTGGCATAAACGAGGTCCGAGAAAATTAGAAAATGCGCCCAAACGCGCAAAAGAAAGTTACAACAAGCATTAGTGTCCCAAAAATGCCGTAACTCACGCTCCACATAAACAGAAAAATGTACGATTAACGAAGAACAGCATCTGTGCGTATGCAAGGATGCGAATACCTCGAACAGAAGAGATTAAAAGGCTGAACTAATGATGTGGTTTGCTCACCGCATATCGGATGCAAAGTCGAAATTAGCGTTGCAAGCAAGATTACGACGAAGGGCACACGAAGCGCATTGAACCAAGGTGAATAAAATGGACAGATTTGATTCATAAAGACAGATATGATGAACAAGTGGTTTTTACCAACTGTGGAGGAGGATACATACAAAGATTGCTTAAAAGTGAAAAGATAAGCGTTGTCCAACCTTTGATTCGTAGAGTTTTCTAAGCGACCCGTATTGAATGGCACCAAGAAAGCACACGCCCTGCAGTCTTCCACCGAGATCGTAGGCAGTCAACTCCACACAAAGGCACTCACAGTCTCGCAGAACGCAGTTAGAGAACACCTGGTGTGAGGGAGGGGGTGGATTAGTAGAAAATGGAACTAAGAGCAGTTTATCTAACGGTCACCTGAATTTGTCGAGGGGGTCCAAAGCTTAGATATCAGACGACTGCAAATGTATCACATGCCTATACGTGGATGACCAAGCATGTCATTACGAGAGATTCATTGCAAAGCGAGTAAATGGGTGCAGATGACTGTCCTTCAAGTGTGAGCGAATGGTAGAGGTGGTGACGACGAAAGTAACGAATTGGTTGGGTATATGAGCACTCACTCACCTCTTCATAGTTGTCCACATGGAAAAACAAGTCCGGATAAGCAAACTCTCCGCTGTCTCGCTTGTTGTCCATGCGTCGGCGGCTCGGAGAGGCATACACGGTCTGGGTGGTGAGAGATTAAAAGACACGTGTGCTGTGGAACGAATATAAAAGCAAATAATCGTGCGCGACTGAACAGGACGGAGGACGGAGGTACACCATGAGAAGGTCTTTATGAAAATTGTTAGTTACTCGTTGATCAGTGTCCAAATAATACCAGACGTACGGTGATAAAAAAAACAACGCACAGGTATTTATCATGCCTATGCCTCGTGTTGCTGTGAATAAACTAATTATTTATTTAACAAACTGCTCACTTTCTGAAGGTTGAATGCTATGGGGACTTTACCACCGGTTCGAAAATTTGCAGTTAACAGGAATGGTGTTTCGAACGGAGAGTAGTACATGTTTGGAACAGACTACAGTCTGTCATTTCTGGATATAATCATTAAGAGACGGACCGATGGTACACTACAGCGCACGGTTCATCGCAAGGCAACTTGGAGCGGGCAGTACATCCACTTTTCCAGCTTTGCTCCGGTCGCATACAAAAGTGCCTTAGTGAAAACGCTCTTCTACAGAGCCAGACGGATATGCAGCCCCGAAATGTTGCAAGCTGAAGAAGAATTTTTGTTCAAAACCTTGGTGTCAAATGGGTACCCCGAGAAGTTAATTCAGATCCACAGCAGGCCTCCCAAGGAGAAAATACCGGAGTTGACAGCAGAGAAAAAGAATGTTTATTTGTTCTTGCCGTTCAAAGGAGACCATGTAGCGATATTGGACATAAACTCCGGTCCGCCCTTACGCGCACCTACGCGACCGCCCAGTTGCGACTCATACATACAACGCGAAGCCTTGTTCTTCATGACCGTCAGCCAGTTCGGCCTCTCACGTCCTTTACCAGTTCGCCTGCGGTTGCGGTGACATTTACACAGGCAGGACCGACCGTCAGTTAGCTCAGAAGGTAGCTAAACATGTGCCGAGGTGGTTGGAACAACTGATGACGCAACAAAACAGAGTGGGTCCGATGCTGAACCGGAGCCCAGCATCATCTATCACCAAGTATCTCTTGGCAACTCGAAATCAGGTGAACCCGGAGACAGCGTTCAAGGTGTTATTACGCAATAACAATCCGATAATCTTGGCAATTAGTGAGGCTTTGCTAATTAGGGCTCATCAACTTGTGTTGTATGCACAGAAACTATTGAGACGATCAATTAGATTACCGTGGCCTTGATTTTGACATGTCGATTGGTGTGACAATTTTCCCCCCGTATGTAACTGTCTATGAATCCCGCTTGTATTGTGCTTGCGACTGATGAGAACAATCGAAGTGTTGACATATCGCAACTTTGTCTTCTCACTGCTCTGACGAAATGTTTGAAACAGTCGGTCAGCACGAGCTGTGGAGGATGCTGCAACAGTTTAGTGGATTTACTCGACGTGCACCCTGTTTCAATGCGAATGTAGAGGAAGTGAACAGAGTTCTGTAACTGGGATAATACCATAACCCTAGAGCTTTACTGCTCCCAAGTTCTGGGGTCCGTGGAACTCTGCCTCCCATCAACCGTGCAGTTGTGAATAATTTACGAACACACGTACGTTCCGGTAAAACCAGCGATCGGGATAAGTTTTCTCTCACAGTACTTAAAGAATGTGCTGACTTTTTGGCAACGCCACTTGTGAGTATATACACAATGTGTATGGAGCAACGCAAAATCGCTGACTGCTGGAGAAGTGTCAGTATCACACCAGTGCCGAAAAAAGGATCCAAAAAATATCGGCCTATCGATTGTACTACTGTTGCTTTGAAATTTCTTGAGAAACACATTCTTGAAAAGATTCTATCCCAAACTCGCTCCAGTGAACCCCTTCAATTCGCCTATCCCCGTTCAAGTCTTACTCTAGATGCAGTGGCCTGCCTAAAGCATTCTCTACTGTCATCACGTAACAACAGAAATAAATCAACTCGAATGCGCTTCCTTGATTATGGCAATGCATTCGACTGCGTAAACTGCGAATTGCTACTGAATGATCTACACATACCGGTATGCGATAGCGCAGGTAATGAAGAATGTAGCGAAGCAAGAAAGGGAGAACAACTGTCAGCAATCAGCGGTGTTGTAACCTTAGGATGTTTTTTGCGCCTGAGTCGACGGATACTAGTCCTCAAGCTCGTTATGATCACGAAGTGGATTTTCTGCAGGGGTTGCGGGTGAAACAAAAAAATAGTGAGGAGGGAAAGTCCTGGCCTCTACGAGCCAAGTGTGTTGAGGAAACAAGCCCGAGGCTGACACTACCCGTCTCGGTCGACTAAGAGTTCTAAAGATCTATATTCGTCCAGATTTGGATCAGTCGGACAGAGAGAAACTGAAGTCCGCTATCGTGAAGTGACACTGGAGAAACTAATCCCCACATTGTAAATTTTCCGGTAGTTCCTCGGGTTCGCCGAACCCGGATAAACAAATCGATGGCGTTTCGTGAGCGTCCGCCGGTTCGTATGGTGGCCTGCGCGTAGCCTTCACAAAGGTTTATAGTATAATGAACAAACGTGACGATGTATATCACTTCATTGCCTCTCGTCGTCCAAACGGACTGGGACTGCCCGAAACCTGGTCAAATCCTGAGGTCACTACCCAGGAAGCCCAGATCAGTGGCTACTCGGGCTTCCGGTGCGACAGACCAGTAAATGATCGAGACGACGTGCTGTTACACACTCGGTCCTCGCTGTGCGGGATACTGGTACACAGCTACGGCAGCGAAGATGGCCTGTGCGAACAGTTATGGTGCTCGACCCGCCAGAGAAATGTTGAATTGTATGTGGGTGCGGCTTATCGCAACCTGCGAAGTCGATGCCTGGATTAGTTACCGCATGTCAGAAACTACATGAGTCGGCCCCGCTTCCTGATTTTGGGCGATTTCAACTTCCCTCGAATACGGCGGCCTGAGATTCAACTTCTCACCGTGCACTGTGAAATCGAGACGCAGTTTGCGGAGATGGTATTTGAAATTGAGGCAGCACAACATTTCTGTTAACCGACGTGCGTTACACCGCATTCCGCTTCATCGGGTCTGGACCTACTACTAACGAGTTGCCAACGACGCGTGAAATTCAGGTCCTGGAGCCTCTGGCGGCTAGTGACCACTCGATGGTGTTAGCCAACCTAGAACAGCCGCTGCCCTACTCGCGTCCGCCGAAGCCGCCTTACAATTATTGGAAGACCGACTTCGATGGTCTCAATTAAGCCGCCAGTGAAGTACACTGGTCGCCGCCGCAGGATTGACCTGTTGAAGCCTGTTGGTCTGTTATAAAAGAGGGTGCGCAATCGCTGGTCGCACGTTTTGTACCCCTCAAATATAGGAAAGCCGGACCAGTGAAACAACATTGGTTCGACAGAGTATGGCCAATTAGCAACATAGCGACGTGTAGTATGGAATAAATTCCCCGTGTCTGGCTCTGCCGACGATTTTGAAGTGTAAAAAGGCAGCGGAATTTATGCAATAGCACAAAAGCGCGATAAGGTCGGCAGTGCGAAGGGGAGCTAGTAACCTCAGCGAAACCGGTCCCAGGAAGATTTTTGCTTGCGTGAAGCGGCGTCTGAGGCTCGCAAGTGACGTAGCTGTGTTAGAGGGCACTGACCGACAGCCTATGACCTCCAGCACTGAATCTGCGTCCGCACTGGCGAAGCACTTCGTTTCCATATTTACAAGTGAGCATGAGCCTATTCCGAGCTCGACTTGTGCAGCCGCTACTGAACTTTATGGCCTGGATTGCGGTGTAGAAGATGTCTGAAGTCTACTCGCCAGTTTTGACAGCAAGAAACCTGCCGGACCCATTGGACTTCACCCGTTAATTTTAGTCCTTATCGGCCATCATCCCGCCTGCCGTGACGGATCTGTTCAACAGATCGCTGTCCGAGGTTGCATTGCCGAGCGACTGGAAATGCTCAGTAGTGAAGCCGATTCCAAAAGGCGGTGACCCACGCAATGTGGACACTTACCGGCCGATTTGTCTCACCTCTGTTTTGGCGAACGTGCTCGAGAAGATTGTGAAAATGGGTCTTCTCCAGCTACTTGAGTCGAAAGATTTCCTCAGTACGGCTTCATGAAGGGTTGCACGTGCATCAGCAACCAGATGTTGACGCGGCAGAAACGGTTGCAAGAGTTGAGTCGGGGGAAGTCAGTGGATGTTATCTACATTGATTCCAGTAAAGCTTTCGATAAAGTGAACCATGTGCTCCTGCTCCACCAGCTGAGGATGTGGGGGTGTTGGTGGCGCACTGCACCAGTGGATCAGTGACTTCCTTATTGGGAGAAGATGGCGGGTTCAGGTGGATGACCACCTAAATGGTACCCGTCCACTAGCGGCGTACCTCAAGGCACAGTACTGTAAACCATTTTCTTGCCGATTCACATTGACGAAGTACCTCAGCTTTTTTGGTCTCCATGCGCATTAGTTGCCGACGAACTGAAGATTTAGAGGATTATTAATTCGCCCGGCGGCTGACATCCTTTAGCAGGACCTCAACCGACTATCCCGGTGGTCCGTAGAAGTTGACCTACCACTCAACTTGGCCAATTCTTCGTTTATGAGCCTGGGGAGGGGTGGTAGTGGGCATGCGTACACCCTGGCCGGCCACCCGCTGCATCCCACCAGTTCTGTAAAGGATCTAGACGTACTCTCACGTTGTGATCTGAAGTCTGTCGACAACACGAACAGACTATTCGCAAACGGACTACGCCTGCTTTGGGCACATAGACACAGCTTCTACACTTGGTATGAAGAGATCGCCACTCGTCTGTTCACTTAGATAATAAGGCCGGTGCTTGAATACGGCTCACTCGCCGATTGTCCGATCACAATAGGTGAGGTGCGGAGACTGAAACGGGTCCAGAATGCAGCTATCCGGCTCATCCTCAGTTTACGGGGTGTAGTAGGAGGACAGATGTAGGAGACTAGGGCTTTATGCCGTGTCATATCGTCGGCTTTGAGCTAATCTCATTTTGACGCACCGGATAATGCACCTGGACCACTTCTCTATGCTGAGGCCGCTGCTGCACGT